GGCTTGTGACACCCGCGCATGACCCTGCCCCGGGCCCACCTCGCTCCTCTGCCCGCCCGGGGGATTTGGGGGTTTTAACGTGGGTCGTTTCATTTATTAATTATTTTTTTTCCCCCCCTGCAGTTTTCTCCACTTGGCGATTATTCACGAGGAAAAAGCCCTGAGCCTGGAGGTGATCCGGCAGGCGGCCGGGGACCGTGCTTTCCTGAACTTCCAGAACAACCTCAGCCAGGTACTTTCACCGCTGCAGCCCCGAATACGGATCAGCCCCTGCCACCCCCACAAAAGCCCCCTGGGGAATTCCCCCCAGAAAAATTCCTTTTTTTTTTTTTTTTTAAGTTGATGGATATTAAATCAAAGCCTACATCCAGGCAAGTCCCCAGCTGGCTCCAGCCAGCCTTAGCACAACGCTGCCTCACCTTTCGAGAGTGGCATTTAACACCCGCATTTTTCAAATATGATGCAATGGGTTCCATCCCTCTTTATTGGGATGTTAATGACACCCTTCATATGGATTGACTGTTTGGTATCCGGAGAGCCCTCAGTTCATCACTTCCAGACTAAAGGGCAGCTCTACAATATGTCGGGAAGCATAAAGGACTGAGTTCCTGGGCTGTGTTTTTTCACTGGGGGCACAAATTGCCAAGCGGTTGAGGGGTCTGTTTGTCCAGACATTGCTGCCAAGTTTGTGCTGTAACTTACAGGTCTGCATTTTCTCTTTTGCCTGCAGACTCCTCTTCACCTGGCAGTGATCACCGATCAGCCTGAAATTGCTGAGCATCTTCTGAAGGCTGGATGCGACCTGGAAATCAGGGACTTCCGAGGAAACACCCCCCTGCACATTGCCTGCCAGCAGGGCTCCCTCAGGAGCGTCAGCGTCCTCACGCAGTACTGCCAGCCGCACCACCTCCTCGCTGTCCTGCAGGCGACCAACTACAATGGTACGGGCACGCTGCTGTACATCGATGTGGGTGTGCTGTACTGAGGGCAGAGTTGTTGTCCCATAGAGCTCAAAGATCTCTGGAGAGGTGGAGAAGGATTGTTATGCCCATCTGAGAGCTGAGGAGCCCAAAGCACACAGCAGTGTCTGAATTCTTTAAAACGTCACTGTCTTGTAGGCCTCCTCACTGTTGATTATTGGCCATCATGGCTTTGAATTTTGTATTTTTAGTGAGTACTTTTGCAGAGTTCCAGGAGGTTTTTGTGAAAATAAGTTGCAGTAAACACTGGAATAAAGCCTCTAGGAAATCTTTCCAAAATCCAGCCCTGTTATTCATACGTACTGGAAGCTGGAAAGCTCTTCTGGAAAACACCCTTTTGCCATGGATGAATCGCAAACTTGGATATTGTCCTGTTCCTAGCATCTTGACTTTTAATTGAATAATAGGGCATTAGGTTACACTTACTCAAATCTTACCTTCCTTTGTGTTTTGCAGGACATACGTGTCTCCATTTGGCATCTATTCAAGGATACCTGGCTATTGTCGAATACTTGCTGTCTTTGGGAGCAGATGTAAATGCTCAGGTATGTAACGTATACTGTGAATTTAACTGAGCAGGGCTGTGTAGTTGTAAGAATCAACAAGTCTGGCTCTGGCTCTCCTAATGTTCCAAACCCCGTGTTATTTTCCCGCAGGAGCCATGCAATGGCAGAACGGCGCTACATTTGGCTGTCGACCTGCAGAATTCAGACCTGGTGTCGCTTCTGGTGAAACACGGGGCTGATGTGAACAAAGTGACCTACCAGGGCTATTCCCCCTACCAGCTCACGTGGGGGAGAGACAACTCCAGCATCCAGGAACAGCTGAAGCAGCTGACCACAGCTGACCTGCAGATGTTGCCAGAAAGTGAGGACGAGGAGAGCAGCGAATCAGAGCCTGAATTCACAGAGGATGAAGTAAGTAGCTATTTGCACCTTTTCAAGAGAAAGGGAAAATCCTGCCCTTTGTAGTTGGTTTGGTTTTTTTTTTTTTTTTTTTTTTTTGGTGGTGCCGCTCCAGTGACCTCTTACCTATATAGCTAATGGGTATAAATAGCCCATAAAGTAAGGTTACACTGTCAAGACGTCAGAAGGATGGCAGTTGGGGCAAGCATATAAATAGAATAAGAATAAAATGTAAAAAATACATGAGGGAACAGAGGTTAACTTCACGTGACATGAGTTGCGAACGTCGTTCTGTTGCTGGCACCTACAGAACCTCATGAGTTAAAATTCAAGTTAATGGGTGGTTTTCTCCTCCCCAGCATTTGTTTTTCTAACGTTCTCAGTGCCGTTAAATGGCAAACGTAATCATTTTGGTGTGGAAATTCTATACACCGCCCAAAGTCAGGGCATGCAGAATTTGGCAGTTATCCCAGAGTAGATACAATACTCCCAGTAAGAGTTTTGCATTAACAGCCTTTTGTTTTTTCTTCTAGCTTATGTATGATGACTGCCTTATTGGAGGACGACAGCTGGCATTTTAAAGCAGAGCTCTCTGTGAAAAGAAGTGACTGTGTACATATGTATAGAAGAAGGACTGACTTTCTTCACTTAAAAAGAAAGTCGTGACGTGGAGGGAAAATCCAGGAGGGAAGTGCTGCACGTCCCAGCAAGGAGCACGTACTTGTAGTGGGATGATTCCAGGTCCTGGCCTGTGTTTAAGTACAGGAGCGGGATGTATAACATCGGTAGAGATCTGTGATTATTCACACCACCTGATACAGAGCCACATAGCCAATCTTCTCAACCCTACGACAGTAACAGACTGGACATCCAACCTGCTAGTTACAGAGAGCTATCTTGTGGCGTTAGGTACCACAAGGAACGCGTGTCCTCTCACGGCCAGGCAGGCTCATACCAACACCCCACCTTCTCAGAGACTGTCAATTTGTGTCAATTTGTCTTGGGCTGGTGGTCCTCCCCGGCCTTGCTGACTGACCTCAGATGCGCTCGGTGGGCTGTCCCAGGCGAGAGGAGGCAAACCAAGGGACTGGTGACCTCCTGGCTGTTAGGAGAAAGGTAGCAATAATGTTAACTGTGGGCATTGGAAACTTTGTGTTTCACACCATGTGTGTCATAATTGCTACGCTTTTTAGCAATTGTATATTGTGTAAATAATGTACATTTTTGTTTATAATTATTTTGGTACATGTGAGATACGTATTTATTAAAAAAAGTCAAATTACTGTGCCTGGTCTGTGAAACGGTTCATCACCCACCTCATTGTCCCGAGATACATGGGAATCCACCTGGTTTGCTTTTTAAGAAACATTTAACACCTGGTAGACTGATGGAGCCGCAGGTTCCAGGGTTTTAGGGGGTTCACCTCGACAGCGGTAAGACAGCTAAGCAGCTCGCAGCCCTTCTGCTGCAGCTAATTTTGGAAGCAGACGTAGGTGTCGTTTCCTGCGCCCATTGCGGCGAGCGGGTCAGGGGGCTGGGATTCCCCCTCTACCACCAAAGCACCGGGCCACCCAACCGCTAGAGAGGGGTTTTGAGGCTGTCTGTGGCGGCACCCACCCACCCGCGTGGCACCTTCGGTTCCAGCTCCAATATGCAGCAGCTCTTGCTGGGACTTGCTGGGGGAGGCTGGAGGTTTGCAGCACAGCTCTGTGTCTGCCCGCCCTCTCATTTATCACCCGGCTCGGCTCCAGTTTGAACTCTGACACCTTCGGATTTTCCAAAGGGGATTTCCACGGGAAGAGGGAGCACACGCCTGGGAACACGTGCTGCTGCCTTCCACCCCTGAAATTCAGGCACAGGGCCTCCCTCCCTCCCCACTGCAGGAGCTGCAGCTCTCCTTGTCCAATTCACAGTGGTGAAGGATGTGGCTTTAGCCTGCTTCAGTTAGCCCTGTGTGTTTCTTCTCCAGCATTCAGGCAGATGGAGTCACTTTGCTCAAATCTTCACCTGCACCTGATTATCTGTTGGCAGCACATCCCAGTGCTGGACTAATTTTAGCCCCAGATTTTAGCCCGTTGTGCGACCACGTAAAGGATGGGTTGTGTGAAGGGTGACTGTGCCCCCGTTCCTTCTGTGCTCTCACCCCCTGGGCAGGGGACAAGGTGCGGCAGAGCTGCTGATGCAGGACGGAGCTCTGCCAAGAGTGTTGGCCAGGGGACTTCTGTGCTGCTGGCACCTGCCCCGGCTCCACCCCGCCAGAGAAGGCCATGGCTCCAGACTGCACAGGGACACCCATTCCCTTTTCTGCCCTGCTCTTCCCAAGGGGCTCCTGACGCACCGCCTGCTCTAAGGAGGGCTCTCTGGTATGAGGAAGAGCACCACAGCTTGCTGGGTGCTTCCTGATTTGCATGGGAGCCAAAGGCCATCGTGGAAACAATTATATAAAATTGTCATCCTGAGTCATTTTTATTTCCCTTCCACTCTTGTTGCATGAGCACAGCCCAGGTGTATGAGCTGAAACTTCCTCCTGGCAGACAGGGCCATGCCTGCATGGCAAACCTGCAAAGTTTTCCAAGTGTGGGGCTGGGTGAGAATCTGCCAAACCCTTCCTGGGGACTCACCCTGCACTCTGAATGACCGCTAAATCTAAGCTGGGGACAGGGACTGGGGGAGTTCATCCATCTGCTGCTACAGATTTTTCACCAGCAAAGATTCCCAAGTGACTTTCAGCCATTCTTGACTAAACACGACATTGCCATAGTGGGAAACAGAAAAATCATAGAACCATAGAATCATAGAATCATAGAATGGTTTGGGTTGGAAGGGACCCCTAGAGGTCATCTAGTCTAACCCCCCTGCAGGAGCAGGGACACCGCTAACTAGATCAGGCTGCTCAGAGCCCCGTCCAACCTGGTCTTGAATGTTTCCAGGGATGGGGCCTCCACCACCTCTCTGGGCAACCTGTTCCAGTGTTTCACCACCCTCATTGTAAAGAATTTCTTCCTTATATCTAGTCTAAACCTACCCTGGTTTAGTTTAAAACCATTACCCCTTGTCCTGTCACAGCTGGCCCTACTAAAAAGATTTTCCCCATCTTTCCTATAGGCCCCCTTTAGGCATTGAAAGGCCACACTCAGGTCTCCCCGCAGCCTTCTCTTCCCCAGGCTGACCAACCACATCTCCCTCAGCCTGTCCTCATAAGAGAGGGGCTCCAGCCCTCGGATCATTTTAGTAGCCCTCCTCTGGCCCCGCTCCAACAGGTCCATGTCCTCCTTGTACTGAGGGCTCCAGAGCTGGACGCAGTACTTGCTCTCGATCCTTTCTTCCCCCAGCCTGTACTGATATGTTCCTCTTGGTAGCTATGCTTCAGTTTTCCCCTTGCAAAACAGGAGCTGGAAATGCTGTCCAGGCTCCGCAGAGGCATTCACCAGCTATAGATATCAGCTTCTGGAAGTGCTCGGCTACGGATACGGCTGGACCTGGTATGCAAATATTTAAATAGATACCATCTGAATGCAAATACTTCTTATTCAAAGGCCAGTGAGAGGGAGGAAAGTGCAGTTATCAGTAGTACCAGCTTGGCTGAGCAATTTTCGGAGGCAATGGTAGATTCTCTGCTGCCCATTGCAACGTTTAGGCAAACTGTATCTTTGGAAGCTGCTGCTAGAATCTTGCAAGAATTATAGAATGACTTAATAAATTAAGCAAATGCTTTACTGTACAGGGAAGCTTTGCAGCTAAACAAATCATTGCCCAGCTACTACCTGCTGGTTATGCTCGTGTCTGCCTCCACCAGTCATGCAAAAGTAACCAAGTCTCCTATATGTGGAGGAACCGCAGGTGAAGCAAGTAGGACAGAGATTAATGTGAGAATATGTGCTTGTTAGCAAAATAGGCTGGGACATGTTGTGTATTTGTGCATTGTTAGTGTGGCACTATTCAGTGCAGAGCTTTGCCTGTCCACTTGATGCTGTAACGTGATTGCACACTGTAGGTCACCCCCAGTTTCAAACATGTGCCCTTAACTGTTGCATGTCCACACACTGTCTCTGGCTTTTCCATGTCTATGCCTTTAGAAAGATCTTTTGAGAGTGGTTTTGATGATAACCTGCCTTCATGCTACCTTCTTGGCACTCTGGCAAGTATGTTGCACAATCCCATTTGTAGGACTCAGAGCAAGAACTCCTTATGCATTTCTTTTGCCAGCATCACTCTTTCCTTACTCAGCCACCATGGCTGCTATTAGCAGAGCACTCCAGCTTGTCCTTGCTCCTCCATCTCCTCGCCTCAGCTCCTGCCAGTGCTTCCCTGTGCTGGCCCAGGGTGGCTCAGCAAGCTGCAAGAGCAGCCATGCTACTGCAGATCAAGGTCCTGTGAAGTTCAGTTTTAGTTTCCTGGCTCTGACCCTCTCTCCATTAGCCTCCTCCCTTTCCTCCACTCCTGCCATGCCTGGGTCCTCTGCTCTTACTGCCCTTGGCACCCCTATCTGCCTCTGCCTGCTCTTTTCTCCCTTCCAGGGTGAGCACCTTTCCACAGGTCCCCCCTCCCTCTTCTCCTGCAACACCAAGTCACCATGAAATCATTCACCCATCATGACATTGCACATGCATGAGGCTGCATTTTTGTTTCCAGCCTTTCCCTGCTGCCCATTCTTGTAAATCTCTTTGATAATCCTGCAGGGATATTCCCATACTTCCTTATATTGTGCACAAAGAGCTGAACTCCGCATTTCCTCCCACACCCTTCTCTTCCTCCAGCTCTCTGCAGGCCTCCCTCGCCCCAACCACAACCCAGGGGCCACCTTCAGTCCCTGCTCTCCTGCCTTTCAGCTCACTCGGCATCGGCCCTGGGCTTCTCAAGAACCTTACAGGGGTGACAGACAAAATGCAATGGGACGGCACTGGTGGAGAGCAGAGCCCAGGTCTGGGTTGTCCCACAGTAAATTGGGAAGCCTTCTCTTGCATCCACTGCTGCTTTGGAAAGTGTAAAAGCAAGGGCAAAAGGCAACCTTGCACCTAGGGACGTGTGTGGGGAGTGGCATCAGCCCATGGCTTCTCAAGAACCTTACAGGGGTGACAGACAAAATGCAATGGGACGGCACTGGTGGAGAGCAGAGCCCAGGTCTGGGTTGTCCCACAGTAAATTGGGAAGCCTTCTCTTGCATCCACTGCTGCTTTGGAAAGTGTAAAAGCAAGGGCAAAAGGCAACCTTGCACCTAGGGACGTGTGTGGGGAGGCTGCATCCTCCCACTGGCTCCAGCACCAGCCTGACCTTTGCAGTCGAGAGCAAAAACCTGCCACCACCCTCCCCGCCTGCTCGCTCTGCTGCTCTTGGGTTACAGTGCAGCGTGCCCCTCTTGCACAGCTGGGGCCGTGCAGGCCGTTTGGCGCAGAGGTATGGGTGTCTCAGGTCCCCCCACAGGGGGGGGGGGGGG